TCAACAATCTAAATTTAATGGGAATGACAATCATTAGCATATTCTAATTTTCCATCTTTCATTCTATAACAGAGATGACCTCAATCTCTAATACCGTATATAACAAGCCACTGAATAAATATCACTCTGAATTCCCTTCCCCCATTGTTTGCATGTATAGTGAAAATAGATAAGAGGCTTACTGAGAGAGCTATACACTCTCTTTAAAAAATTATATTTTCATTTTTAATAATCACCAGTTTTCTTTCTGCCTCAGACAGTAGCAAGGAAGCATTTGAGATTTCTATCCGATAAACACAAGCAGCCAGCACAAAAGATGAAAATATGTTAAAGGGAAAAGATAGAGAATTTCTGATTCCTAACAGGTGTCATTTCAAATATTGTTGACCCTTGACCCTTAAGTTGCATGACTTAATATCCCTTAAGTCCACAAGTGGTAAATGAAGGCCATACAATTTCCATCTATTGTCACCCAACAGCAGGCATTTGATATTCTATTATTTTTGTTAGATTTATATCCCAATTCTATTTGAGAAGGTCATGTTATCTTACATAGCTCTTTCCCACTTTATCCTTACAATAACAACGCTGTGTAATAAATCTGACCAAAAGAACAGAGCTGGACAAAACTGCCCAGGGTGCTTCAAAGTTGAGTAAAGATTAGCATCTGGGTATTTCATCAATCTTAAGTCTTAAAGCTCAATCGATGGAGGAGAATATTTCTAGCTCAGGGTTGAAATTAAGTTCAGGGCTTCCAGAAGTTGTAAATGCTCCAACACTGGAAGTGTTTAAGAAGAGATTAGATAACCATTTGTCTGAAGTGGTGTAGGGTTTCCTGCCTAAGCAGAGGGTTGGACTAGAAGACCTCCCAGGTCCCTTCTAACTCTTGTTATTCTATTCTATTCTATTCTATTCTATTCTATTCTATTCTATTCTATTCTATTCTATTCTATTCTATTCTATTCTATTCTATTCTGACTCCTTGGTGCTCTCTGAGCTTGTTGTTTTCTGCAGACATTTTATTAACCAAACTGGTTAACCTCATCAGTGCACTGAATTATGAAATATCTGCAACAAAACAACCAAACTCAGAGAACACCAAAGACCCCTCAGCTAGCTATTGTACCACATAGGATGTTTCTATAATCAATATATTTTTCTGGTACACAATGTGAGGACCTTGGGTATTGTTTCAATATATCAGAACAATGTAGGTAGGGAAGGATGATTATTTTTAAAAGTAGACAAGGAAAGTATACATTGTAGAATACAGTAAGGGAAACATTAACATTTAGCTAATACAGTAATATAATTGACTGTATTTACTGTACAGTAATTTACTGTAAGTTTAAACTGATTTGGAATCAATTTCAATAAATGTGAGAGTTTTATCTACCCAATCTGATTCTTGCAAACTGATTAACTTTTTTATAAATACTGTGTGGAACACTCTAATGTCATTCACAATCTGCAGTCAGGAACATCCAATCAGAATCCCTGCAAAAGACAGGCTACCTCCAGATGCCATGTTTAGAAGCAGTAGCAATAGCACTTAGACTTATATACTGCTCTATAGTGCTTTACAGCACTCTCTAAGTGGTTTACAGAGTCAGCATATTTCCCCTAACAATCCTTTTACTGACCTCAGAAGGATGGAAGCCTGTGTCAACTTTGACCCAGTCAAGATCGAACTGCTGGCAGTTGGCAGAGTCCGCCTGCAATACTTCATTCTAACCACTGTGCCACCACAGGAAAAGAGGCAGTAGCACAAACCCTTCAAAGGTACCTGGTAAGGTCCACCCAGGAATTGTGCAATTGACCACTGACAAGACACACATCCGTCCATTTCAGGAAAACATCTCTGAGCATGTTGTCCTATCAATCATTAAACAAAGTGAAACCAAGACTGCTTATATACTTACTTCAGCTTTGCTTTGCTTTGCTGTACAGACATGAAATTTGTAAATTGTGAAGCCTAGTGCCAAAGTTACGTTTTTATTACTGTTGTAACTGTAAATGGTGTCTATTACTTGTACAAAGCTAAAATCAACTGAATTGCTCAGTGAGGTTTTACAGCTCCCTGTATTGTAGGCACTTTAATACAATGTTCTTACCCCTTTCCACATATGTAGGTTTGTTTTTATGCCAACAGCAGCTTCTTTGAAGAGTTGCCAATAAAAGCTAAAGGGATAAATTGTGGAACTAAAAAAAACTACTTAGCATCTGCAATGATAAAGCTGCAAGCATCTGTTCAGAATGCAATGCAGGATATTAATTGTTTTTGCTTACAAAAAGCTACAAGAGCACATTGTTAGTTGCTAGGAAGGCAATCAAATTAATAAAGTCTGATAAACAATTTTCCCCATTGAATCTATCCTTAGACATTCAGCGAACAAATACAGCTCCTTCCCTAGAAATCTCACTAATGCATTTATAAACAATGTAGAAATATCCACCAGCCCAAATATATACTGTTCAGTAGACTTGCCAGGTTAATCAAGCATGTCTTTAACCAGGGAAATATAACGGGGAATTTCTAGGACAATGCGGTGCTTTTAATTACACTCAATCAGTTAATTTAGGATAAAAGCAAAAATGTAAGTATTTGTAGAACTTCAGGTGATATGGACAAAGCATTCCTTAGCATTCCATACAAAGAATTCCAAACTTAGTGTTTCACTAATCACATTAGCATATGCAAAGCACTCATGTTTCAACCATTAGACCAACCATGTTCCCTAAAATGGTTGGGAATTTTTTTTATATACTTTGTATCAATTGGTATCATCAGAGTGAGGCGCCATCCCAGCCAGTCTTTTGTCCTTTTTGGTCAAAAGCAGACAACTCTATTAGTCTGTTTCTCAGAGTTGTTGAAAAGGTTACTAAGTTTTAATCTTTCCAAAAGGTAATGGTTGCTTTCGTCCTTGTTCTTTTCTCTGAAACTGCCATCTTTTTGTTCAGTCCAGAGGCTTCTGGTCCCAGAGCTACCAAGAAAAGATCACTGTGCCAATTGGTCTCTCTCTTTTTTTGTTTGTTTTTATTGCAAGAGATGAGCAGGAAGAAAACTCATAAATTGAAGACTATATTGTTTGACTCCCTCTGCCCTCTTTCCTTCTTTGGCAAAATTTTCAGGAAAAAGAAAACCAATATAGTAAATGTCTCACTTGAAAACATCTTTAGAATCTAGATGGTGTCATTGACATAAATTGGAGCCCAATATCGTCCTGTATTTTCCCAGTATCTTCTATATTTTAGTATTAAATAAATAAATATTTTTCCCCCTAGTGGGGAAAGGAAATACATGGACACTCTTCCTGGGGGTAGAAATGGTCAGAAGAAAAAATAAGATAACCAATTTAAAGAAAAGTTAAGGAACAAACATACAGCTAATTGGTTACTTTCTATTTCTTATGCTCCGGGGTGGGTTCTACTTATCTTTACTACCAGTTTGCAGCAGGGCTGCGCTTGCGCAGAAGTGATTTGATGACGTTGGGGTCAGTGGGCAGAGCCTCCCGACGGTTTTACTACTGGTTCTATAGAACCGGTGGGAACCAGGGGCAACCCACCACTATTATGCTCACTATTGCTATTGTTATAGTGAACAATTGATGAGAATTGATTGTTTAGAAATTGAATTATGCATATGGATGCTTGAAGCTAAGAACTCACTACACCCTTCCTTTTTCCAAAGCAAAAATTAAAGGTTTCACCATGAAATATGTGTGCATTGTCCACATAAAGCAGTGGTATCAAACTCAAGGCCCGCGGGTCGGATCCAGCCCGCGGAATGCTTAGATCAGGCCCGCCGGGCTGCCCTGGAAACAGTGAAGGACCAAGTCATGGTGCCTCTGCCAGTGAAAATGGAAGGCTGCACATGGGCCTCTGAGCTCCGTTTTCACTGGCAGAGGAGTGCAGGAGGCCGTTGCAGCTGAAAACAGAGCTCGGGAGCCCATTTTTGCTGGCAGAGTGCTCGGGTCACCACAGGCGCTGCTGACATGAGTGACATCAAGGTGGCCATGCCCATCCTGGCCGCGCCCACCCCGGCCCCCCAAGTCAAACACAACCTTGATGCGGCCCTCAATTAAATCGAATCTGATACCCCTGATATAAAGCAAGCTCAGATATGATTTGTAATTTCTATCTGCTCAGTATCTATGGAACCTCTTGCTTGGAAGACAGATTGTTATTCATATTAATAACAATAATAATGTTGTTTCCAGTTTTCTAACTACATGAAAATTATGCATGAACCAAACATTCATAGTAAGGCCATGTTTTTCTTACCTTCAGCCAAAAATGGCATAGAAAATCATACAAACTGTTTCTCCTAAACTCTTCATTCATAAGCTACTGCTAAAAGCAGGGGATGGGTAAGAAGCAATCCAGTTATCCAACTTTTTTTACAATCTCAAATAACTTTTTTTTATTTTAAGGTATACATTTCCCTTTGGCTTTATTCGTACTTTTGAAAACTTGAAAGCAAATAGCAATACTTGGCCCTGCACTAAGGCAATACTGCAAATAATTGGAGGACCTCTGAATATTCTGCACACAAGATAGCAAATGGCAAGAGAAGCTTGGCAAATGCTTTAAAAAAAAGCTTTGAAATGGTAGCCATAAAATATAAAGGAGCAATAGTTTTAGAGCAAAGAATCCCAAACTTGAAAAGACTTCTAAACCATATGCAAAGAACTTGCCTATTGAATATTGCTTTAGTAGATTTGAGAGCGAATGATGACTGCTGTTCTTTTCTATGCGTGCGTGTGTGTGTACAGTACAATATATGTGAGTTTATACATTTTCTTTCTTTCTTTCTCTTTCTTTCTTTCTTTCTTTCTTTCTTTCTTTCTTTCTTTCCCTTCCTTCCTTCCATCCTTCCTTCCTTCCTTCCTTCCTTCCTTCCTTCCTTCCTTCCTTCCTTCCTTCTTTCTTTCTTTCTTTCTTTCCTTTCTTTCTTTCTTTCTTTCTTTCTTTCTTTCTTTCTTTCTTTCTTCCTACAGTGACACAGAGAACTGGTTCTGTGAATGTCCTCCTAGCTATTCTGGAAAATTATGTCAGCTTTCAAACTGTGAGCAAAATCCATGTGGGAATGGAGCAACTTGTTTTCCTAAATCCAAACAGGATGTTGTGTGCCTCTGTCCATATGGAAGAACTGGAATTCTTTGTAACGATGGTAAGAACGATTATGAGTTCTAAGCCAGAGCCCCTTCCCTTTTTTTAAGGAAAGTGAAAGGGATGAAATTGTCATTTGAAAGCAAATTTCAATGTTAGAACATTAACCCCTATAAGATGAATGCATCTTATTATACCCCTATTTGAGATTAAAATTATCAATATTGTTAATAATGGGATATACAAAGCTTCAAAATGTTTTGTTCCCTCCCAACATTGTGCCGACACTTCTGCCCTGCATCATGCCATTCTGGTGGTGGTAGGCCATTTCCAAAGCAAAGCCTCTGAATTGGATGTAATCTAAATCTTTCCTCTGAAACAATGTCTCCCGGACACTTCAATTACTTTCCAGTTTGCATTATTTACTTTGGGAAATAACCAAACTGCCGCTGGAATGGCATGGTCCATAGGAGTTTGCACACGGTCCAGCAAAGGAATAGTATGTTCTGGAGTTCTCTGGAATATTTCATTTTCAAATATAGGGCAGTGCATGTGTACATATTTTCTGTTAATTAATTTAGTATTACACACAAAAACACAAACAAACACTAGAGTGTGTAAATCTTGAAATGCAGATAGTCCTCAACTGTCAATCATTTGTTTATCAACTGTTCGAAGATATAATGGTACTGAAAAAAGTAACTTAAAACCAATCCTCGGACTTTTGAATGTCACAGAATCTGCATGGTCACACGATCAAAATTCAGGCACCTAGCAACCAGCATGTATCTATGCTGGTTGCAATGTCCCAGGGTCATGTGATCACTATTTGCAAGCCAGCTTCTGACAAGCAAAGTCAATGAGGGAAGACGGATTTGCTTAATAACGGAATGTTTCACTTAACTACTGCAGAGATTCACTTAACAACCATAGCATCATAAAATTGGGCATGACTCGCTTAATGACTGCCTCTCTTAGCAGTGAAAATTCTGGTCCTAATCCTGGTTGCAAATTGAGGATTACCTGTAGGTGTTTCATAATTTATGGGAATACAAAGCACCTCTCTTCAAATTAATAAAGCAGCTATATATTTTACAAGGTTCTTGCAGCTACATGGGAAGCTGCTCCTGGTTGTCTTTACATGGTGTGTAAATCTGGCAGAGCCAGATTTTTTCTCTGAAAAGGAGAAGCGAAGCAACCAAGCGTGCACATAGAAGTGGTGGCTGTCAGGAACAGTTTTGAAAGCTACCAACATTGCAAAAGATATGGCCATTTTAAAAATTTGAAGACAGAAACTTTATTTTTGTTCCCACACATTGACAACAGATTGAGAAATATCAGACTGCTGGATCCTAGATGCTTTCAGATGCTGTTTCAACCCCTCCTATTAGGTTTGATAGGCTGGGCACACTCCATATCCACTCTCTTAAAAAACGCCATCTGGTGGGATATTGGAGACACACCTTCCCAGTAGCTGCCCCAGCCATTTGGAGCACCTTCTATCTGAAATTTGAGGTATCCCTACCTTTTTAGCCTTCCAGAGGGCTGTGAAGACCTGACTCTTCCCCCAAGCATTGGGCTAGGATGGGGGTTGAGCTGCCAGGATGTTAATCTGGCCCCTGGGGGGGGAAGGATAGCTTTGCTTTTAACCATGTTTTAGGGAATGTTGTGAGTCATCTAGAGTCATTACATCAGTGGCCATTTATGTCATATATATATATATATATATATATATATATACACACACACACACACACATATATACATATATATATAATATTTTGCTGATAAAGAAATAAAGGAAGACTAGTATAGATCTATTTCAAGCTATTTAGCTCTCATCAGCTAGCCATACCCTTACTCGGATTCGAACCTTATAAGGGTATGGCTAGCTGATGAGAGCTAAATAGCTTGAAATAGATCTATACTAGTCTCCCTTTATTTCTTTATCAGCAAAATATAAATTTGGTATAAAAATGGTTTGTCGTGAATGCGACTGCTTGAGGGCTCATGGATTGGAGCTGAAAGGCAAAAGGGAAACAGGATGCTCCCTCCCACATGTTGGGGTAGACCAGGTGCCTCGATAGAAAAACACTTTATATATAAATAAACAAACAAAGAAACAAACAGCAGTGTCCAAAAAGACTAAGGCAGAACTATAAGAAATGAACTTTTTGGTACTTCCCTAATATCTGGAACATTGCCCTGATCCCATGCAGCTCTTGTAATGTTCTTGTTTTTTCCTTTCCTCAATACAAGAGATCTTACAGTGTTCCCAGCCGGAGAGCATACTGTGCTGCTAATCAAAAATCACTCTTCCCTAACAGATCAATCTTCCTTAACAGATTTTCTGTGAAAAGGTGAGAAAAATGAAGAGGAATAATTGATAGGAAAACTTCTAGTGGAATTTAAGATAAACACGTTGAGGTTTGAGCTGGGTACAAGGTTGTGAATCAATGAATATGGAAGGATAATGATTCCAGAAAAGCTGCAGCTGGAAATTACCATAAATTACAATTGTAAAGCTATCATATTTGGAGTGGAAAAAATCTGGAAAATCACTAGATGACAGCAAAGATGTACCATGTTTCCCTGAAAATAAGACCCTGAGATAAGTGCTTGGCCTTATTGCCATTTGGCCTTATTGCCATTTGCTCAAAAGTCCAATTGGGCTTATTATCAGGGGATGTCTTATTTTGGGAAAAACAAGGTATTTCTTTCTTGTCATCTACAGGTCATCCAGAATTTTGTAGGCAAGATTTGGTTGTCATACTCCATTATATTTAAAACAGAGTGGGCTGTTTCATATTTATTCATCAGAAGCATGGGAGCTATAGTGCAAAAAGAGTAAGGAGGACTCAAGAAATCCCAATTCTCCTTCCCAATGTCTATGGTTTAAGAAGGAAGAAAATCTGTGTTTGAGTAAAGTCATTTTTTTAATGCTAGTTTTCTGCAAACAATTTTTTAATTATTTTTTTCACAGCCATTAATATAACCTCTCCTAGCTTCAGTGGAACAGATGCTTTTGGCTATACCTCGTTCCTAGCATATTCAGCAATTCCAAACATCAGCCTATGCTATGAATTCCACCTGAAATTTCAGCTGGCCAACCACAACTCATCGCTACAAGACAATCTCCTCTTTTTCACTGGTCAGAAGGGCCAAGGTAAGGATTCAGAAAGTGTTTCCTTATAGAAGCTAGGAAATTATGATGGAATGTTTATCAGCCAGTAGCTGATTTTAGATGACTATATGAGCATGTGCATTCAAACTCAAAGTAAGGATCTTCCAGTTTTCCTGTGTAATGGTACGTGAGAATGACCTTGGGAGATAGGAGGGAGAACGTCAGACTGGACATCCAGTACGTAAAAGATAGTAAACAGAAGGAGAAGGACTGTGGGAAACATATCAAAAGGGTTCCTCCCTAATTTTCCCAAGAGTAAAAATGAATGAAGAAGGGAAATATTTCCAGCCTTGCAAGATTCTATTAATATAACTTTACAATTAACACAGAGATACTTCTCCTGGTTGTGCTTCTTGTCTGCACTACATCAAGAGTCTAACACCCTGCTTTCTCAGTTCCTTACTGAGCTTTCTCTTTGAGAGTTGTCAGTTCCTCACACTCCTTGTCAAGCATCACATATTTGTTTTTGCTATGAAGATATGACTCACTGAATTATTGTGTTGTGCAGCAGATCTTCCACTGTAGGTTGCTTAGGATCTTGGATGTCCTTGCATGTCTCAGAGCTCTTCCTTCAGCTGTTCTTGGATTGGTTCTTGTGTTCACCTTTGCATTTCATGGTCTTGTCCTTTTCCAGGCTGTTTTTCTTAGCATTCCCTACTTTATCTCTCCAGTTGGTTAATCTCTCTGACCAGTTATTATCTCCAGAGCGAGAAATTAGTTGTTAATGGCCATATTTTTTTTTTAAAAAAATGATAATAAAACTAAGTGTAAATAAACACAGAAGAGCTGTGGGTAAATGCTGCAGTCAACCCCGTGCATGGCCCCATTGCGAACCAATAGTAAAGGTAAGTAGAACCCACCCCTGCATTCCACCATTTATTTTCTAATGTATTCTCTTTTGCTTACAATTGCCCAGTTAAGTGACAGTATTAAGATGAGCTTAGATGATCTTCAAACACTAAGGAGGGTTGGACCTGTTTAGTACTGTACTTTGATAGCAGTCAACCAAGGCTATAGACTACACTAAGAATTTTTTTAAATCTAGAAAAAAGACAGTAGTAACCCACTTTCATTCTGCTGGCCACAAAACTACATGGCTTTATCTGTATGAAGTTGTCAGAAATTGATTCCTCCTCATTTTTATAATGTAAATGAGTTCTCCTTCTCCAGTTTAGTTTTGCCAATTATGGCTAAATTGTCATTTGGAATGCTGTTTTCTGATATGGTAAGATAATTTTCATTATTGAAGACATTGACACTTTCTGAAAACAAAACCTTTCCAAAAGGTAATGTAAATTCTTGGGTTTTTCAGTAATTAAAGTACTGTATAGATAGTATAGTGAGGGAAATGGGAAAGCCAAAAAGAAATACTCCTGGGTTTTTTAAATGTATTTACCGTAATTGGATTTAAATGGCCACACATTTTGCTATGATGGCTCTGGGCAGTTTACAACAAATAAAAACACCATAGAAAATTACAACCAAAATATAAAACCGATAATGCCCACTGAGGTAAAACAACAAATTTAACAGAATTCAATTCAATCTAGAACTGAGGAGAAATTTCCTGTCAGTGAGAATAATTAATCAGTAGATCGGCTTGCCTTCAGAAGTGAGTACTCCATCACTGGAGGCTTTCAGAAGGAGACTGGTCAACCATTTGTCTGGAATGGCATAAACTCTCCTGCTCAAGCAAGGGGATGGACTAGAAGACCTCCAAGGTCTCTTCCAACCCTCTTATTTTACATTCTGTAGTAAACTAAAAAACATCCAATGGGTTCTAACTGACTTCCTGACCCATATGCCTAGGAGCACATCCATATCTTTGAGGCTTTTTGGAAGGCTGGCAGGAGGGATTTGATTTTTCTGATGGACAGGAATTCCAATGGAAAGTTTCACTTTTATGCCATGCAAACAAATTACCCATAATAAGGTAATTCTGTCACGCTAACTTTATCACAATTACCTAAAGTGAAGTCTCTGTAACAGGTTTTTTTTGGCAGTGATGTGATTATTCTCATTCCAGGTCTTACTGGGGATGATTTCCTAGTGTTGGGACTGCGAAATGGTAGCTTGGTGTACAGTTACAATCTGGGATCTGGAATCGCAACTATTACTAGTGAACCACTTGATCTGACACTTCTCATTCACACAGTCAGCCTTGGCAGATTTCTTAGAAGTGGCTGGATGAAGGTAAGCTCTGTTTTAGAAACGCTTCATCTCACTACTAACTGTAGTTCCTATTGTAGCAAGGATTAGAATTGTGGCTTTGGTCATGACACTATCATGCTTTTGGGTTACCCCACAATGCTGTTAGCAGGATAAAATGGGAAGAAGAAAAATCTAACTTTAATCTAACATTGACGTGCTTTTAATTTAACTGAGAGGCAGTATAGTGTAGTGATTAAGGGTTAGATGTTCACCAGGAAGACCCAGATTCTTATCTGCAGGCACCTACAGTTCTCTTGTAGCTTAACATATTTCACACAGCTGTTGGGGGGTGGGGAATCAGAGGAGAGAGTGTTATAAATATCAGCTTGAGTTCCTGTATGGGGTTTATAAATATAATAATTAAATAAACCTATACATTCCATCCTGAATTCCTTTGGAGAATGTGAAAATAAATAACAATGAGCTTCACTTAGATATACACAGAAATGCATAGCAGATGCCCAATTTTAAGAGCTAAATCAATCATAGTGAAGTTTGCTTGGTTATGATATAATGCCTTATATGCTGCATTGTATTTTTCAATAAATTATGGTTAAGCTGAATCATGACTTAGTGTGTTGCATGAAACCAGTAATGAGATTCTATGAAAACTTTTGTACAAAGATTTGCACATATACTATAGAAAAGTTTCCCTTTACAAAAACATATTTCATTTTTCACTTCCTACCTGCCTGCCACTACAACTTCCATCCCACTTTTATAAATTGCTCCTGAAATTTTAGGGAAGACTGAGAAATAATGGATGAAGAAGATTCTGCAAAATACAGAAACACAAGCAAAAAGTCTGACCTTCTGATCTTTTAATCACAATCCAGGAAATTAACATTTTTCCAATTATTTCAAATGATTTGCAAGGCAAAGGAATTTCCTCCTCTGTTAATGTATATGAATGCTTTTATTATTATTTTTAGCATTGTGATGAGAAATAATATACTTTAGCTGCTCATAAATAGCATATTTTTGTTTGTTTGAAAGGTGGACAATCAAAAAAACAAAACTATTACGTCACCAGGAAAGTTGACGGGACTCAATGTTTTTAGTCAGTTTTATGTAGGAGGGTATATTGAATATATTCCAGAATTCTTACCCAAAGGATCCAGTTTTAAGAATGGCTTTCAAGGTAAATAACAACATTATTGTCTTTGTGTATCAAGTCATTGTATTTATAGTAATAAGTTTTAATGGAAGAAGCTGGTTTTCTACTAAACACAGAGGGCTCAAGTTTACAGTATATGGACATTAGCTAAATCTAAAACAGGCATACCAAAATTTCCCACAGGTGTCAATTTGGTGAAAAAAGAAAAACACTATCACATAGACATTGAAACAATAAAAAGATTTGTAAATATAGCTGAATAGCACTATAACAGAACACATAAATCTCAAAACAGCTCTGAGGGGCCCAAATAAATGCTCTCTGGAATAAAAATAAATAAGGTTATTGCTGCAAAGATAGAATTAAGAATAGCATTGAGCAGGAGACAGTGTGGAGCCTGCAAGGAAATCAGAATGCCTGGAAGGGGAGGAGGGGAGGAGATAGTTATTCCCCAAAGAATTTGGAGGAACAAAACTTACAGTTTGGGAAAGGGTATAAACCAAAGAGAGTATCTGAATCAGGGTTGGAGTTCTTGGTGCTCTCAGAGCTTGGTTGTTTGCTTGCAGACCAGGGGTGAAATCCAGCAGGTTCTGATAGGTTCTGGAGAACCAGTAGTGGAAATTTTGAGTAGTTCAGAGAACTGGTAGCGGAAATTTTGAATAGTTCCGAGAACCGGCAAGTACCACCTCTGTCTGTCTCCAGAGTGGGGTGGGAATGGAGATTTTGCAGTATCTTCCCCTGGAGTGGGATAGGAATGGAGATTTTGCAGTATCCTTCTCCTGGAGTGGAGTGGGAATGGAGATTTTGCAGTATCCTTCCCCTGCCATGCACACCAAGCCACACCATGCCCATCAAGCCACGCCCACAGAACCAGTAGTAAAAAAAATTGGATTTCACCACTGTTGCAGACATTTCATTACACTTTGCACTGATGATATTGCCTAGCTGGCTAATAAAACATCTGCAAGCAAATAACCAAGCTCAGAGAGCACTCAGGACTCCAAAAATATACAAAGATACAAAAGGAAGGAAGAGGAGAAGCAGAAGTCTGCTGGAAGTGAGGGGTAAGAAAAAGAGAAAGAAAGAGAAATGGGCAACCTAAAAAAATAAATAAAAGAGAGTCAGACATTTCAAGTAGGAAAAGCAGATTGCTTGAGTTTACGGGCTAGATTTACAATAAGGGAGAGGCCAAAGGGAAGAAGAGAAGGCACAAGACTGATGTGGATTGTGAGGAGCAGGACATCTCAAGGATGAAAAGTGTCTAGTAGGTGTCAACAAGGAGAAGATCTGAGAGAAAGAGCTGCACTCGGTGTATGTTACCTGGGAGGGAATAGTGGTTGACCGAGCCAGGAGGAAGGTCAGGAAGGATGGAAAACCCAAAAGGAAGACTTTTGCAAGGTAGAAAGAGCTTATAAAGAGGGTGAAAAAGAGCTGAGGTGAGGTCCTGTGCTTTTGAACTGAACAGCCCCTTCTTGGCTGTTGGATGAGGGGGGTAGGGAGACTGCTCAGATCTCTCAGCCAGCCTTTTAGGATTGAGGGATTTATTCAAAGAAAGCTCTACTGTTCTTTAAAGTGGTCTTTGTATCTGTGAGCGTGTGTAATTCTGCCTGTGCACCGTATGTGAATATGTATGGGTTATGGGTTCTGAATGTAAGAAGTAAAGTAAATCTGTTCCTGCTCTTTAGAGCCAGAGGTTTATTTTCCTCGTTCGATTTGTACAGAGAAAGGCGAAACCATTCTTTAGAGAACCCTCCTGCTGGTTGACAGCAGGCTTCTTTATAGTGAATTGGAGAGAATTTTTGGGAAGCTGCAGAGGGCCTGTTTTAGAGGCTCCCTGGGGAATTAGTTTCTTCAACACTAGCAGTAACTATTGTGTGGAAAAAAAACAGGGCTCCCCAGGAGCTACGCAAACAATACAGCACATAAATACAAACAAACAAACAAGAAATGTTTTCTAGATGTACAGAACAGTCAAGGCCAACAGCCCAATCTCCACCGCTTGAAATCCCTTAAAGTTCAAGTAGCTTTATTCTCAAGTAAGAGGATATAGAATTGAGGCCTTATATTCATTTATGTTAAGTAGTTTGCTCAGAAATTAAAAACTGTGATTTAATACCTCTTCCCTGATGGTTTAAAAAGAAATATTTTCCACGCTTACCATTTAAGCTGATTTTGTCCTATGCTCAGGAAGGCTTCATTTAGGATTTAAGAAAATCCTCTCCAGAGACACCTTGTCAACTGCTTGCAAAAATGTCCAGTGCAGACCACGGGCTCCCATGTCCTTCCATTGAACACCTCCCTGTCTTTGTGTTTGTTCATGAACATGTATGGATACAGAGACGTACACAGTTCATTTGCATTTATATCTACATCACCATTTACATACATGCAGCACAGCCAGCAGTTTCAAAGAAGGGATTCCTTTCTTACTATTTGTTTCTTTCTAGTGTCTTTGGATAATGACAACCACATAGATAGATTTTCCCAGGGTGAAATGCTCCCGGTTCGGATCGGATCGTCCGATCCGGTAGCAATGGCGGTGGGTGGTTCGGAGAACCGGTAGCAAAAATACCTGCACACACACACCCACCATGCCCAGCTAAGCCGCACGATCAGCAGAGGCTTTTTTTTTTTTTTTTACTTTTAAAAGCATTTTTTCTACAACCTCTTCCGACGAAAAAATGCTTTTAAAAGTAAAAAAAAAAAGGCTCTGATGGTCGCATGGCTCAGCTGGGATCATCAGAGGCTTTTCAAAGCATTTTTTTCTGCAACCTCTTGGCCGAAGCTGAGTTGCCTGATCATCAGAGAGGCATTTTTAAAAAAGCCTCTCTGATGATCTCAGCTGAGTTGCCTGATCGTCAGAGGCTTTTCAAAGCAGTAGAAAAAATGCTTTGAAAAGTTTTTTTAAAAAAGTCACATTACACCCACCCCCACCAAGCCACGCCCACAGAACCGGTAGTAACAAATTTTACATTTCACCCCTGGATTTTCCCCGTGGTGATCTGTCCCTAATCTGGTCCTTCAATGCTTTTCCAATGCTGCCTTCATCATTACTGTACCCGAGTCCATCCACCTTGCTGCTCTTCATTTTACATTCCATGTTCCTACTGCAATTCTTTCTTTTTGGCTTTGGCTTTTCCTTTAAGTGTCTCATAACAAAAGATTTCTGGTTTGAAACCTAGCAGAAAGCTTATTTTCTTGCTCTGAGTATCCTATTTTCTCTGAGCTTTGTTTACAAAAAGCAAAAACAAAACTTCAGGGATGCACTCGAGAAATGGCTTTATATATTTTCTAAGTTATGACAGATTGAAGATAAAGTTTCATAAAAGATGGTTTGAATTCAAGGACAGAAACTTCATGTGCCTTCATTCTAAAGGATGTGTTTGTTTAAACCATGACTTTCCTCCCATTAAAATGCATACTTACAATTACCTAGGGATTAAACTGAGGGCAGACAGGATGAGGATTGGCATTTTGGCAGCAATGTACTTTAAGTTAATGTTTTGTAGGAACTTTAAGCAGCTACTAGCGACCAAATAGATTTTTGTAACTTTAAAATAAGAAACCAAGTAAAGTCTAGATCACCATGAGAAAATATACTTTTGAATTTGACCTGACCACAGTGGTAAATGTTCATAAATATTTTTTTTATTGTTTTAAAGCAAAAAACTGGGTAATCTTTCATTCTTTCAGGTTGTATTTTTGACCTCCAAGTCCGGGCTGGAAAGGATCAGGAGTTTAAAGCACCAGGAATTCCAGAAGGCCATCCTAACACTGGTCGCAATGTAGGACAATGTGAAGTGTCTCCGTGCCAACTGATAACATGCAGAAATGGGGGAACATGCATGGAAAGTGGCTCTGCGGTATAGTAAGTAAAGTGTGATGCTTTTAATGAACCATTGCAGGGGAATGCATTGAGACTATGCAGATTGTCATATGGTTCTATCGGAGTTTATACATCTATGCTTAAGAGCAGATGTATAATCTTCTTTAGAATCATCTTGCAAGATACACATTCAGTTCTCCTTTCCATGTAGTAGTTCTTATACACATACTTTCTCTCTCATTCTTATTAGCATAAATGCCCATTTCAGGAACCATCTGAAGTGAATATCATACTGGGGTAGCAAATGGAGCAGTGAAGTCTGCCTCATTCAGTAATATCTACCCCAAGGCCCGAAATTATTTGAAGGTTGAGGGTCACACCTGTTTTTTCTATTTTTCTTTGGCATGCTGAGAGTTTTGCTCAATTACTTCCCATGTATTTCTTCTTCTATCAGATTAAAAGTGACAATTCAAGATCTGTAATGGCATTTGAGAATGATTTTGGGAGGTAAGAGAAGAAGTGTTGCCTAATCCCAAAGGTGCTTTTTCAAGAGGCAATTGAACTTTCTGGTTTTTCTTTGAATACATTTCGCTTCTCATCCAAGAAGCTTCTTCAGCTCTGACAGGATGGTGGGGAATGGAAGGATTTATACTCCTTGCAGGCAGCTGGTCATTTGCATTGCAAGTGCAATGCAAATGACCAGGGAGTCAAGCTATTCTCCAAAGCACCTGATTGTAGGACAAGAAGCAATGGGTGGAAACTAATCAAGGAGAGAAACAACTTAGAACTAAGGAGAAATTTCCTGACAGTTAGAATTAAGCAGTGGAACATCTTCCCTCCAGAAGTTGTGAATGCTCCAACACTGGAAGTTTTTAAGAAGATGTTGGATAACCATTTGTCTGAAGTGGTGTAGGGTTTCTTGTCTGGGCAGAGGGTTGGACTAGAATACCTCCAAGGTCCCTTCCAACTCTGTTATTCTGTATTCTGCATTATTTTAGAGAGTCATTGAAGCCACCAGGAGGTTTATCTGTGTCGTCAGGGTCACCTGAGTAGTGCAAATGGGTGTGGAGCCTTCTTGGAACTGTTGAAAGGACCGAGTTGTAAACTGGAGATAGATGATGTTGTATCCCTCTCTCTCTGCTGTCTCAACCCTGATGATACAAATAAACATTCAGGTGGCATCAACAACTTTTTAAAAGAATACAAATGACCAGCTCTCTGCAAGGAGTATAAATCCTTCCATTCCCTACCATCCAGTCACAGCGGAAGAAATTTCTTGGATGAGAAGCAAAACATCTTCAAAGAAAAACCAGAAAGTCCAGCTGCCTCTTGAAAAAGCACCTTTGGGACAACCATGACCTGGATGACTGAGAATCTCCATAGACAAGTGCTGCCTAGGGAACAGTCAGATAAGAGAGGGCATTGCCTATTAATGTAGCTTTACAATTATGTAGAATTGTCTCATCTGGTCCTGTTCCTGTTTGTGCCACATGGGAGGCTGACATTAATCTTGCAAGATATGAACATTAAGGGCTATCCTATTATGCCATTTCTAAAATTAGGGGGGAAATGGGACACAAAAGGACAATATTTTGGTGACTGAATGGAAAGTGGCAAAAGGAAGGTGACTTATGCCTTCCTTTTGGTAAATGATTTTGGGGATGGTGAGGATTTCAATGCACTGGCAATAACTCAGAATGAGTAAGGCTACCAAAAAATATGAGTTGGTTAAGGATGGGTTTGGGGAGCAGCCAAGATTTTCTTTATTTAGAAATGTGCATCAAGCCAACATCAAGTTTTAAAGTATAACTGTTCTATGTATCTCACCTCAAAATGTTCAAAGTGAGACTCCTGGTTTCTCTGCTCCAAAATGCTCTAAGGAGCTACCTTCAGGGGTGGGTTCTAAATTTTTTTACTACCGGTTCTGTGGGTGTGGCTTATTTTGTGGGTGTGGCTTGGAGGTCATGTGACTAGGTGGGCGTGGCTAGCTGGTCAGAGTCATTTCTCGCACTTACGACCAGTCCTCGCACTTACGATCCAACTCATTTGTTTGCTTTTAACACTGATCAGCTATAGGACGGCCCTTTGAAGCCCCGTGGCAAGAGTTTAAACAGTTTTTTTCCCTCTAGTCATCAGCTGGGACTCAGGAGGCAGCAATAGATTGGGGGTGGGACCAAATAAAAGGTAAGAATAACGTGGGGGGGTGGGAGGGCGGGGGGGAGAACCGGTTCGGTGACATCATATTGTCACCGCTACCGGCTCGGCCTAACCGGACCGAACCGGGAGGAACCCACCACTGGCTACCTTCCATGTTGACCCAGAATGTAACCAAGTCATTTACTGAAGTTTCCTCTGGTTTCATCTTTTGCACCTCCCAGCTGTCGTTGCTCTTCTGGTTGGACAGGGGCTTTCTGTACAGAAAAAATGTCAATGTGTGATCCTGAGCACAAGTCCCCGCATCAGTGCAAGCAAGGTTCCACCTGCGTCTCCGTGCCTGATGGATACAACTGTCACTGTGCCTTGGGAACCACCGGCACATATTGTGAACAAGGTAGGGGACAAACCTTCATCAAAAGTGTATCACATGGTACCATCGGTTTCTTTTTATTCTGTGGTTGGGTGAGAAATGTAAATTGAGTTTTTTTTTTTTAAATTGAAGGTACCAAAGACTCTTTGAGATTAAAAAAGTTCTGTTTTACTGCAATCAAATAACTGCATCTCACCTATTCTGATCATGTCATGTGGGGAATTCAGAAAGCAATTATGTTCAAAAGAGTTAGCAGTAAAAGGAAATGAGGCAGCCAAAGAAATGGAGGCTGGACCCTGTCAAAGTTGACACCAGCCAGAGCAGAGTAAAATCCAAAGAAATAGTGCAAGATCGGAAGATGTGGAGAGACTTGACCATAGAATCACCGAGAATCAGACGTGACTGAATGCATAACATCATCATCATCAATACCTGCAGACTATTAAATCCAAACTGAACATACAGCACTGCAGCCCTCTCTTAAAGTTGATCTCTAATGCAAGAGAGGGTTTTAGAGGACCCAAATTGTTGGGGGAAATATGCTGACTCTGTAAACCGCTTAGGGGGGGCTGTAAAGCACTGTAAAGTGGTATATAAGTCTAAGCTATTGCTATTTAAGTACAAAAAGTGAGCAGGATGATGTGTTGCTGAATCATCTCTAACCTCTCCACTTAAGAGTTTCCCTCCTGAGTTGGGAGTGTATCTCGAGAGAACCCTATAGGGAGATAAACCACAATGGGAAAATCTCTTTATACAGCAGTGGCTTTGACTTAATCACATTAATTTCATTGGTTGGCATTATCTTGACTTTAAATATGCAGAATTGAAATAAATATGCAAATCTATACTATTTTTTTTTAATAGATAGACATCTGAAAAGTTCATAACCTATTTCTTTTTAGTTTATTTTGATTTATTCGAATTATAGAGCTTCTTAATGTTGTGACCCTGGATGGCTCACAACAATAAGAAACAAAATTCCAAACAAAAACCAACTAAATAGAAGCAAACATACAAATCATCAATAAAATAGCATCCATTGGACAATTGCCAGCTAAGCTGGAGGGAGGGGTCAAGCAAGAGCCTAGGCTGGAATCTTTGTGCAGCCACAAATGGTATAAGTTTGACCTTATCTAATTTTTCCCAGGGGAAGGCCAACAGTCTGGTGAGAGTCTTGTAATGTAGGTGATAAACAATAAAGTTATTGACTAAGGCTAGTCACGACTTGTTCTGGTTGCTTTTGCCTGACAACAACAACCAAAAAACCACCAATAATCAGCAGCAGAATCCAGTCAATACTTCATGTTCAGCACAACCATTGATAGCTTTCCACTATCATTGGCCACCAAGTACAACAATAGAGCCATGTTTTCAAGGCCTTCCTTTGGTCAGTACAATTGGGGCTAATCTAAACTCTAGAGGAATGATGTTCCAAAGGGTGGTGCTATGCAAAAAAGCTCCTCTTCCTGGGTCTCGTCATATGACACTCCTACCTCAACAAGACCTACAACAGGAGTGTTAAACTCAAGGCCCAGGAGCCAGATCCAACCCATGGGGCACTTAGATCTAACTCATGAGGCCACCCTGGAAACAGTGAAGGACTGGCCAGCGGTGCCTCTGCCAGCAAAAACGGAGCTCGGGAGGGTCGCGTGCGGTGGCCTTTTTGCTGGCAGAGGGCTGCAGGAGGCCGTCTGAAAATAGAGCTTGGGGGGGTCGTGCAGGAGGCCCTTAGCTCCGGTTTTTCTGGCAGAATGCTAGAAAAACAAAGTACTAGTAAAAGTGTATCCCCCCAGTCCTGACAAGTGCCCCTGACATGAGTGATGTTGAGCTGGCCACACCCATCATGGCCATGCCCCCCTGGCCCCCGGCCCCCCCAAGGTCAAACACAACCGTGATGCGGCCCTCAATGAAATTGAGTTTGACACCCCTGACCTACAACATGCCTCTCCTGATGGGACGAATAGACATAACCAGGGAGAGGCTGCCTGCTGGTTTAGATTTAGATTTAGATTTTATTGAACTTCTATACCGCCCTTCTCCCAAAGGACTCAGGGCGGTGTACAGCCATATTAAAACACATATAAACCACAAAATTTAAGAACAATTTAAAAACAAATATATAAAATTTGGCCCACGAAATTAAAAACTAACAAACACCCAATTTAAAAATTTCTTTTATTCCCTGTTGGAATAAAAGAGTCTTCAGGGCGCGGCAAAAGGTTCGCAGGTCGGGGATCATACGAACCTCTAGGAGCAGCTCATTCCAGAGGGCTGGTGCCCCCACAGAGAAGGCTTTCCCCCTGGGTGTCGCCAGTCAACATTGTTTGGCCGACGATACCCTGAGGACCCCCTCTCTGTGGGAGCGTATTGGCCAGTGGGAGGCTATTGGCAGCAGAAGATGATGTCGTATATACCCCGGTCCTAAGCCATGGAGTGCTTTAAAGGTGGTAACCAACACCTTGAATCGCACCCGGAAGACCACTGGAAGCCAGTGCAGCTCACGCAGGAGAGGTGTTACATGGATGCGCCATGTTGCCCCCATAATCACCCGCGCGGCCACATTCTGGACCAGTTGGAGTCTCCGAGTGCTCTTCAAGGGGAGCCCCATGTAGAGAGTATTACAGTAGTCCAGATGGGACGGGACGAGGGCATGAGTGACTGTGTGCAGGGCATCCCGGTCCAGAAAGGGACGCAACTGGTGTATCAGGCGAACCTGATAAAAAGCTCCCCTGGCCACGGCCGTCATATGATCTTCCAAAGACAGCCGTGCATCCAGGAGAACACCCAAGTTGCGAGCCCTCTCTGAGGGGGCCAAGATCTCGCCCCCAATAGTCAGCGATGGAACCAGCTGACTATACCGGGACGCCAGGAGCCACAGCCACTCGGTCTTGGAAGGGTTGAGTCTGAGCTTCCATGCCACACAAGAACCAGCTCTTACAACTAAAACCAGAAGCATACTTGAAGCCAGTGCAGCTCAGGAAGCAGAGTTACGGTATAATATGGTCAAGAAACACCCATACAGTAACTGCCTGTGCTGCTGTATTTTCCACCAACTGCAGCTTCTGGGTTCTCTCCAATACCGTCCCCATCTAATTGTGAAATTCTTGTCTAATAGCTGATGCTCACAACCATTACGCCACTCTTATTAAAATACAATTAAATCCCTCTAATTATGCTTACTGACACAACATCTCACATCTAAATAATTGATATTTAAAAGTGCTTTTGTGCATGCTTTGGCTTTCAAAGTTGTTTTACTCTATAGACATGAAATAAGAATCAGCCATGTTTTATACATTATTAGACAATTACTGAATCAGCACTTAACATCCTTAGTGAGTGGCATTCTACTCCTTACGTGATGTGCTTTGATTTCTTTCTGATTCCTTTCTGACCCATATAAGAACGGCAACTGCAGAGAGGAAAATATAAGCTCCTAAAGTTCTTTAACACTTCTTCCCCCAGTGAATAAAAGTGAGGATGGCATAAATTGGAACAAAATTGATGATTTGTAATGAAAAGGCCCATTACTGCTGTCTCAAAATCTTGGATTTCAACTTCCCCTACACCTAGCAGCATAATGAATTGTCACATTTTTTTTTTCCAAAGTACAGTTTTCCTAGTCTGGGCTGAGAAGAAAGCAAGCATCTTAAAAACAATCAGACTAAATATTTTATTTCTAGGTACAGAATCAGGAAGTGAAGGAGTAAAGTGTCTCTCAGCAGAGCAGGAAATGAACCAAGGAGTCTTGAAAAATAATAACTACTGAGGAAGAAAGGAAACAAAAAAAATAAATAACTGAGAATTTATAGTGCACGTAGGTTAATAGAAAAGAAACAACAAACAGAGAGAACATCAATAGAGTTTAGAAAGATACTCCCTGACACATTGTTTAGAGTGATTTATACAATTGGTAGAAGTGACTTAGTGTACGGTAGGACTTAACTGTTTGCAGCCATTACTTGTAGAATATAATAGGTAGCAATTATCAAAGCAATGATTTCTTATTCTTTCTAGAGGCCACAGCATTGCCTCAATCAAAGGTGAAACAGATGATCCAGCCATGTTTATGTAAGAGTTAGATGTAAAAGCCATACCAATAAAATGTACCATTATACATACCCTGTTTCCCCCAAAATAAGACATCCCCTGATAATAAGCCCAATCAGGCTTTTGAGCGCATGTGCTAAAATAAGCCTCCACCCGAAAATAAGCCCTCCCCGAAAATATTTAAATGCAGAGCTGGAAATCAGGTAAGACGGCGAGAGGAGCCCCATCTTGATCCACGCGCCCCAAAATAAAAGGACCTCCCCGAAAATAAGGCCATGCGCTTATTTCAGGGTTCAAAAAAATATAAGACAGGGTCTTATTTTCAGGGAACCACGGTAGTAACATACTTGTATGGCAATTCTTCATTCTTGGAAAAATGAGCTTGAGGAGCATTTGGCATGAACTAAACCGGATTGCTTTACTCACCAGTAGAAATTTGATTAGTGCTCTGAGCTTTATCAGAACACTTATGTATAAAAGCCAATTACTTTGTAATTTACAGATATGATTCATCTGTTTATCAGGAAGAGTCAATAAGGTCTAGTGATTAAGGACCAGGCTAGAGACCAGGAGATAGTGACTTCTAGTTTGGCCTTAGGCACGAAAGCTGGCTGGGTGACTTTGGGCCAGGTACAGGCAGTTCTTGACTTACAACTATTTGTTGAGTGACCATTCAAAGTTACAGCAGCACAGAAAAAAGTGACTGATGACCATTTGCACATTACCATTGCAGCATCCCTGTGGTCACATGATGAAAATTTGGACTCTTGGCAACTGGCATGTAAATTTATGACGGTTGCAGTGATCCCCTTTGCAACAAGCAAAGTCAATGGGGAAGGCCAATTCACTTAATGATCATGATATTAACAACTGCAGTGATTCACTTAACAATTGTGGGAGGAAAGGTCACAAAATGGGACAAAACTCACTTAACAACCATCTTGCTTAGCAATGGAAATGTAGAGCTCAGTTGG